ACTGATGATAGTTGACATTTAGTTGCAAAGTTATTTATGGTCAGTAGTATTCACAAATATAATAACTGCAAGTTGGGATCGTAAAAATAAAGTGTTGGCAGATATTAAAGGAGTAGTTCACTTTTAAAAATAAATTCACTTTTGCTGATGATTTACTCACCCCCATGTCATCCAAGATGTCCGTGTCTTTCCTTCTTCAGTCGAAAAGAAATTAAGGTTTTTGATGAAAACATTCCAGGATTTTTCTCCATATAATGGACTTTACTGGTAACCAAACGGTTCAAGGTCCAAATGAGAGTTTCAGTGCAAACTGTTCAAAGGGCTTTAAGCACAAATCTTCTTCAAATGACATGAAAAAAGATTTGTTCATTTTGATTAACGAGTTTGAATAGGAGAGTCACGAACGCGCATCACAGAACAGAGCAAGGCGAGCATTTGAGCTTATAAAACTTAAACTTTGTTTTTTATTTTTTTAAATGAGCAATCGTTTCACTTGATAAGACCCTTATTCATCGTCTGGAATCGTTTAAAGCCCTTTGAACAGTTTGCACTGAAAGTGTCTTTTGGACCTTGAACCGTTTGGTTCCCATTGAAGTCCATTATATGGAGAAAAATGCTGGAAAGTTTATCAAAAACCTGAATTTCTTTTCAACTGAAAAAAGAATGACTTGGATGACATGGGAGTGAGTAAATTATCAGCAAAAGTTTTTTTTTAAAGTGAACTACTCCTTTAAGCAGACAATCTACTAATTCTGTACTGACTAGTTGACATATTTGCAAGGTTACTCATAGTTAGTAGAATGTTTAAAGTTGACATTGACAAAATTACCCAAGTAATCTGATGAAAAATATTAAGCAAAGTTACAAATAATTCATTATATTGTAGTAGATGTTTCGTCAGTGCCTGATAAATTTGAGACTGAAGACTTTCTTTTTTAGCTTTGCTATTAGCTCACGGTAGTCGCCCTGAGCAAGAGCAAACACGGTCGTGCGCTGTTCAAGGAATGGGAATGCTAAGGGTTATTTCTGTCCAGGTATTATAGAGCTTCAAAACGGCACCTCTCTGTTTGTTCTTCCATCTCTACAGGGACACACGTGCGACTGCGTTTCGCCACCTCCGCGCTAAGTTCATCCGAACTTCCTCCATTTTAGCACGGGAGAAGAGAAAGGACTTGTGCAAAGGGCTTGGCGCCAGATGTTGGGATGAAATGTCCGGGGGCTGTGGCAACACATCAAACTCTTTTCTTCCCCTTGTCAGTGAGGAGCTCCCATCCTAGTGCGCAGTGTGTGTCCTGGCATGGGCGCTGGAACAGGGCTCACCCCCGCGCGGACACCAGCGACACACGCTGCTTACCTTGGATGAAAGCTCGCACGGGCCTCTCGCATGCGGGCGCTGGAAGAAAATCCCTCAGCTGCCTGACCCCACCGTACCCCCCTAACCGACGGGTCCCATCCAGCGCTTATGAAATCATGGGTAACACGCAGGGTTGGGAGAAGCCCATAAAAAAGCAGCACACCCCAAATTAAAGCAAGGTTCAGTAATAATTGTTCAAGGTCATTTTGACCATTAGAGAACATTGGAAAGGAATCATGGGAAGCGTGTGAACGTCCTGCCCAGGTGAGGCAGTGTTCCCAGAGCTGCGGTTGCCCTGGTGATTCCCGGGAAACTGGGCGACCCTGCGGGATCGCTACGTGTTTATTTTCTTTCATTCCGAGATGGAAAAATCCCACCTGGGGCCGCTGGACAGGCTCTCTCAGCTGGCAGCGCTTTTCCCAGTTCTGGCGTCAGCGCGTTGTAGCACCTTGTAACCACAATGTGGTTTTTAACGAGAGGAACACTAGAGTTCACGGAAAACACACACTATATGCTTTTAAAAACCGACGTCATTTTGGACAATCATAAAAATGTGTTGTGAAATTTATAACATGATTATAATTTAATACTTTTTTAATTCAAATATCACACCAAAATAATACTTTCTTTTATTTAAAGTCTTTTATTTTGCTGCAGTTTACATTCGCACACGTCGAGGTTACGGCTTTATGAAGCCCAAGTGACAAGTGTAATGATTTTTCTCCATCAGGTGGACAACTCAACTAAAACAACTATAAAGCTCCCTGATGATGACTATAAATTCAGATGCAGATACTGACAAGGGGAAAGTCGTGTAGATGTTGATGACTTGATTTACATTCATACGTATTTTTATTCATTTATTGCATCTATTAAGTTACGGTATCCTGAAAATTCACACAGGCAAAGACATGAATCCACCTCTTTTATGGTTATAATGCTTGAATTAAAAGTAATTTTAATATTTAGTGATATTTTAAAGTAAAAATGTCTAGGGGGTGTGACTTCATTTTTTCAGATTTTAAACAGATTTTTTTCAGATAAAAAAAAATACTCAAAAACTTTCCTAAAACGATTGTAAATATTTTAAAACGTATTATTCTTATTTTTTTACAAAAAGATTTAGTTCATGTTTTCATAATATATTCATAATGTTTATGAAAATATGTTTTACCTTAAAATGCTTTGTAGTTAAGATGTGAAGTAATAAAGTGTCAAAGTGTAAGGAAAATATTTTATCAGTCATATTTAATACATTACTTGACTGTTAAATTACTTCCAAATATGGTGCATGTGTTTAAATTTTTTAAAATATCTTTGACATTCTTATTTGTCACTGATCCACAAGCTAAAATTTAATAAAACATTTTAAAAGCTAAATGTTCAGCTTTGGGAAATAAACAATAACTCTAGAAGGCCTGGTTTCACTGGGCTTAGATTAAGCCAGGGGTCAGGGGACATTTAAGTTTAGCTTGTTTAATCGTCCCTTAGAAAAAAAAGATTACTAGATTGCATCTTGTGACAAAACAATAGAATAAAAGACAGTTCAAACATGGATTTTAGCCAGGGACTAGGCTTAAATCTTGTCTGTGAAACCGTGTATACACCTAATATATACCACACTGTAAAAAAAAATATTTTCAAGATTTTTTTGTTATCACAACATTTTTTCTTTTGTCAAATCAACTTAAATAATTTATTTAGTTCAGAATCAGATAACTTATTATTCTGAGTTTCTGATGATTAAATCAATCTCCTTCATTGTATTAACTCACATTTTCCAGTTCAATCAACTTAAAATTTTAAGGCAACCAGGTCACTTTATTTTTTAAGTAAACAATATTTTTTTACAGTGCAGGTATATACCCAATAATTGTGTGTGTGTGTGTGTGTGTGTGTGTGTGTGTCTTCTGTTTGATGTGAAGAAGTCTTTGGTGCTAATGATAAGGTAAATAAAATGCCCAACATGTAAAGCAACTATTTGTCCAGACAGACAATGTAAACTTGATAATTAAGGCTTTGTGAACAGCTCTACAGTACGTCTGATTGGCTTTAGAGAACATCCAAAAACAGCATGCGGCTACTTATCATTGCAAAGATCTTATCATAACGGATTCGTCTGTGAGCGTATGCAGTCCTCAAAACCTCACGGCAGGTTGTATTTGAGCAATTAGCATTGACTTTTCCCTTGAGAGGAAAAATGCATCTTTTCAAGTAATAAATCAAGTAGTACACAAAGTTCGCAAGACAAAGCATTATAGCTCTGTTTTTGGAGAATGCGGTGCTCCGAGGGAATCTAGTGTGAAGAGAATCACTGCCGCAGGAACCATGACAAAGTCCTTTCGACATGGGAGTTAGACCCCTTTACTAGAGGATGGTTATCAGTGAATGATGATTTAAATTCACATTTGACTTCATAAGGTTGTAAAGGGTTAGTTCACCCAAAAATGAAAATTCTGTCATTAATTACTCACCCTCATGTTGTTCCAACCCTATAAGACTTTCGTTCATATGTTTGATTAAATCTGAGAGCTGTCTCACTCCTCCATAGGCTTCTATTGTAATTGATATCTGCCGGCCCAGAAAGTTAGTAAAAACATCGGTAAGATAAGTGACTACATTGGCTCAACCTTAAGTTTATCAAGCGGCGCAAATCTTAATTTGTTTTCTGAAGATGAACAAGTCTTACGGGGTTGGAACAACATGAGGGTGAGCAATTACTGACAGAATTTTCATTTTTGGGTGAAGTATCCCTTTAAGGCTCACAATGTTTTTAAATATTTATAAATCCTATTACATATTTAAATACATACATATATGTTTATATATAATTTCTTAATTCTAATGTTATTTTTTATGAATTGGATTAATGTTAATTAATATATTATATATGGAGTATATATTTATTTATATTAATCAGATTAATAAAAAATAATATAACATTGTATATATGTAGGCCTACAGGTTTTATTTTTATAAAATTGTATAATAATTTACCGAAGTGTATTGCATTCCCTTAAAGAAAAAATCTACTCTGTTTTTCTGAATTAATGAGTTAATTATCTCAGAATTATGAGATAATTGTTCATGGAAAAATGGTTTTGCTCTCTTTTTCTAAATTAACGAGTTAATTATCTCAGAATTACAAGGTAATTTTTCATGGAATTTTTTTTTTTTTTTTGTGCTGTTTTTCTGAATTAATGACTTGATCATCTCAAAAACTCAGAAATTCAGAGCAAAAACTTTTTTCCATGAAAAATTCTCTCGTAATTCTGATATATTTAACTAATTAATTCAGAAAAACAGAGCAAATACTTTTTTCCATGAAAAATGATCTCGTAATTCTGAGATAATTAGCTCGTTAATTCAGAAAAACAGAGTAGATTTTGTTTCCTCAAGTGAATGCAATACGCTTATTTACTTTGATTTACTTATCTTCATGCTGTTCCAAACCTGATGACTTTTTTCTTCTATTCCACAAAATTATACATTTTGAGTAGTAGTTTTGGTGCATTTGTGTCCACCATAAAGCTAGAAATCCTCACATTTGTATGAAAAAGGAAGCAATAAAGTCAAAGAGGTTTGGAACAACACAAAGGTGAGTAAATAAATAATACCAAAAATGTTAATCTGTGTGTGCACTAACCTTTTAAGACTAACTAGCAGTCTGTCCGCGCACCAGATAGATGCTGTTCACGTTTTGATATTCTCCTGTAAGTGCCCACACGGGGCTCAGGAAGCCTCCACTTGTCTTTGGCCTCATTAAAGGGCAGAGTTGTTTTTCTGTGGCAGAGGGCAAAGAAAAGAAGCCGTAAATGTGAGCAGTACAGATGTTTTACCGTTCTGCAACAGTGAGGCAGACTAAATCAGACATCTGCAATGCATTTGAGCTGGATCTCTAGCCTTCACACAACCCTTCATCATCCACCACTTTGCACCTGTGAAGCAGACTCACGCATATATACACAGACCTGTGTCGGTGCATAATTTAAATGATAACATACAGTAAGTGTTACTGATTCTGTGTCACGGATTTCTTTTGATGCTTAACTGGAAACAACAGGCTTGATTTCAACTGCTCTGCATTGTGTAATAGCCCTGTTCATGTTCCCGAAAGAAGGGTGATCAGAACGAGGCCGATCACACAGCTGAGCACCAGGCACATGTGAAAGTGCTTTGGGTCAGTTATCTATACGGCCACATGGAATAAGAACTCCAAAGAAAGTTCCACAGATTTCCAAAGATTTGGAATTCCTGCACATACCCATATCTTTGTGTGTTTGTTTATTAAAGAGTCTGGCTAATTTTATCATGCTTTTACACCAAATAGAGTGCAGTCCTCTCAGCTATGTATACATTTACCATGTTTAATATATCCCATGACATGACGTTGACAAGCCCAGTTTTCTTTCCCATGATATAATTACAATTCATCTGCAGGTGGCCATCTGATCTATAAGTAACAAAATATTCAATAATTATGAATATTATCTGCTTTTTACCTCGCTGAAGTTCAAACTTTGACTAGCAGGTTATAACCTTTTTTACAGTCTATGGGTATAACTGAGCCACATGCTAACCAGAGTGTGGTGTTGATGTTTGTCCTATTGAAAAAAGAAGTCTGAATGAGACATCGTTTAAAAAAAAAAGCTAATAGCCACTAGCTTTGAGTTCATATGTAGCCTAACGTTAGACAGATAGACAGATAGATTTTTAGCATCCTAGCTAACTTTTAGAGGTAAAATTTCTCAATATCTAAAAGTATCTAAAAAAAAAAAAAAAAAATCCCAAACGTACTAATTGTGTGATGACGTTGTAAGTTCATAACAGAAAATTAAAGCAAATTACTATTAAAAACTTAACAAAACTTACCAAAGTCTGTGTTCTGTTGCTAACTCTCACAGCTCACAGCAGGTGAAATAATCAAGGACCTGAACCTTCAGTGACAGCTGACGTTTTCTTTTGCCTGATTTTTGAAATGTCTTCAGAAATTTCTGGCAGTGTTGAACAAAAGTTGGAACATTTGTAACATTTATAAAATTAACCTCTTCTGTCAGGGCACGAAAGTAATTGTTTTTGAGTGGTTTGAAGACAGATTCGATTGAGACTACTTTGTGCCGTCAATTTCTGACAAATATGTTATGGGGGGATACTGAGTCCCGAAATGTGTTGAATATAAAATAAGAGTTTCCTCTGCTGTAAAAGCCCAAATTATGTATAAGCATAACTGTTGCCTTGTTTGAGAAAGGTTATTGCTCAGTCACTCTTGGCTTTGCTGTGCCCATTTCATTCCCTTTGCGTGCAAAACTTAATTAGCATTGGAATATCTTGTTCCCTGTTAACACTGAAGAAACAGAAACCAGAAGAAAATATCAGGGAGCAGTTTAAAGGTGCACTCAGTACTTTTTCCTCATTAAAAATGTTTTACACATAAGTATATGGATAATACTTTTCATAATGACTTTCACTCAAATGAGATATGGATGTAGGTTTAATATAAATATGTATATGAAAAATGAATGAAAAGGTATGTTTGTTAATCAGTTAATTTGTTTTAATGTAGAATAAAAAATATTAAGTTAGTACAGCAGTAACTCAACACAAAAACATAGATTAAATGGACAAAATTATCATTATAGCCTATGTGAATGACTGTGACCTTGAAATATTATCAGCATGTAATTGTGACTTGGACTACACTGCACACCTCAAATTTGAAACATTTCCCAGATTTTTCACACACGTGTTTCTGATCACAGTTCATATTCATGAACGCAGACCCTACGGTGTGACAGGAAATGTCTAAAAAGGGAAAAAGAGACCCAAAAGGCCAGTTTCTCTTGTCAGCAGTTCTTAATGGTGTGATATATGGTGGTCAGTAAGTCTTTGATACTTTCTCACCATTCAGAACTGCAGGGAGGTCCCGTCGAAGGGTCCGGGGACAATTCTCATTGTCAGCGGTTCTGGACAGACTGCCCACATCAAATAGGCCTAGATCAATTTTAAGACTTTTTCTGCTCAGCAATGTTCCCTAATTTATTTTATTTTTTTCTTGCTGAGCAAATCATATTTTTATTGGTACTCTTCTAAGTACCAGACCCAAGCAGTGTGCTGTGCCAACTAAAAACTTTTGGGGAGTTTTGTAGCAATAGCTTTTGTAACAAGATCTCAAATATATATATATATATATATATATAATATTTGTGTACTTTATCTATATTTATAATATATAGTATATATCTGAGATCTAAGATTTAAGTTATTGCTATGTGTGTGTATATATTTAAGTAATTGCTACTATGTGTGTGTATATAATTAAACACACAATATCTATATATTCATTTCTTTTTTTTTTCTATGTTAATTTATTTTATTTATATTTGTATAATATGTTATACATTTTTTTTGGTTGGAATTAGACCCAAAATTTACTCTACGCAACTTAGTATGTGAAAGCAAATGCTTTCTTTCAAGTTTAATTTTGTCTATTGAGGCAGACCACCATTCATAATGCAGTGCACGTTTACTTTTGTATATATATATATATATATATATATATATATATATATGAAGAGTTCAGATGCAAAAGCCTCTAAATGCCATTTGAAATTTTCTTCTTTAATGATGATTTTTATCAAACTTGTATATTTTAGTTCAGTAATTTCACTTAAATAACAATTAATAGGTAATTATCATTACCATTTAAGTCAAATCACTGAACTTAAATATACAAGCTTGATAAAAATTATCATTCTAGAAGAAAATTTCAAATGGCACTTAGAGGCTTTTGCATCTGAACTCTTCATATATATATATATTATGGTAGACATGGTTAACATTTGAAGGTAGCTCTATCACCCCTTCGAGTAACAATAGCTATGTTAAAACCAAAACCAGAAGCAGGAGAGTAGCCTATGTTTTGTAGAGTATGTTTTAGGCCACAAGTGTTGCATCTCATCGCACAGCTTCAATTCTACTCTCCTATACTCTATACTTACAATTCTATACTTCAATACTATATAGAATGAATAAAAATGCAATATGGAAACCCAAATAAGTTGACAATACTCTAGAAAACAAATTTAGGTAGGTATTCAGTTACATCATTTTTTAATTTAAAAAAAGCATAACTGGTAGAGTTTTATTTTGTATTTTCATTTGCTCTTACATGTATACATCTCAAACATTTAACGTAAATGTATTATGTAATCTCAATTTAAATATTTTGAGTAGTGGAAACTTGGCTTGCCATAACTTGCTAATCAGTAAATGCTAACTTGCTACTTGGTAACAATGCTTTGATAGCATTAGCATAGCATAGCAAATGCTGAATGATGATTTCAGTATAGAATAAACATATCTGTTCTCAAACTAAGCTCATGCTCCACTAGTCACATGATGGTAACCCCCTCTTTACACAGAAACTCTTCTAAATTAGCATTGTAAAACATTAAACAAAAATTAAAAAATTAATCTTGCACAAAAAAAAAACATTATATAATACTTAATTTGAGTATTTACTCTCCCTTTAATGTGTCATGGCAAAGCATGCTGTAGAAACCCAAGCCTTTGTTTGTTCAATTTAAAGGGTTAGTTCACCCAAAAATTAAAATTATGTCATTAATGACTCACACTCATGTCGTTCCAAGCCCAGAAGACCTCCGTTCATCTTCGGGACACAGTTTAAGATATTTCAGATTTAATCCGAGAGCTTTCTGTCCCTCCATTAGAGATGTATGTACTGTACTGTCCTTGTCCAGAAAGGAAATAAAGACATCATCAAAGTAGTCCATGTTACATCAGTGGGTGAGTTAGAATGTTTTGAAGCATCGAAAATACATTTTAGTCCGAAAATAACAAAAACTACGACTTTATTCAGCATTGTATTGTCTTCCGGTTCTGTGACATGAGGGTGAGTCATTACATAATTTTTGCGTGAACTAACAAGTTCATAAAACTCAAAACAATGAAACAATTCAGATCACCAAAAATGTGTCAGTTTTGTGAACTCAAAAGAGAAAGAAACTCCTAAGTACTCATAAAACTTAATTTGACTAAACTAATTCATTTAAGTTTACCCTTCTCAAACCAGATAATTATTTTGAGCATGGGGTTTACAGTGAATTTAAATCCTGTCTATCCAGATTTTACAAAAAAAAAAACATTGTCTCCTTGCTGTGCAGATTTTCTTTTGGTCTATATGGAAGCAACATCCGATCGCCAACTTAGAGGGATCACTTTTGCTCATCATCATAAAATGAATATATCAGCAATTCTTTCCCTTCTCATGAATAATGGATGTCAAACTGCTCAGTGATGGTGCGTAAGCTGATTTTAAATGGAGAAACTGTAGTCAGGCCTCACTGAAGTGCTCCTCTGGTAGTCATTACAGGCCTGTTTTGTGAAGTCAGTGATATGTTTTGGGGAAACTGGGTATCGGTTTGACGCATAGCCAGATGCTGAATGAGCAGAGACGCCCCCCCTCCCCCTCCTACCGGCAGCTCTAGAGAAACGGAAACAGGAGATTTACATTGCCGCTATGTTGTTTGATGGCTCCCACATGACGCATAATTTCAACAAGTTAAAATATGAGGGCAGCAGGACAGACTGATTGTGGGAGCATTTCATTAGCCCCGGTTACAAGGGCTCTTGCCATAAGATCCACAAGCCAAGACAGGCGGGTCAATTTATGTCACAATAAATAATCCATTTCATGTTAATTCTCCCATAAACCCCCTGCCTGTGATTACGACGACCCTTCACGTACATAAATTAGTCGCAGAGTAATTTTCCTTTGGCGAGCAGCATCCGACAGCATGACGTAACACGGGTCAGCACTCGCTGGATGGATGGCCTATATCAGCGGCTCTCAAACGATGGGTCGCAGGTCTCTTCTGAGAAAGTCAAGGCCAGCAGGGGAAAGAAAAACACCATTTGTAAATAATACATCTAACCGTATAATCATGCATAGGATTTATGTTGTTGCATCAACGATGCATCCAATCCAAGCTAACATGGACAGGTGTGACACGCCACAAAAGCCATTAACAAAGGCATGCAAGATAAAATGATACCATCTATAATATGTCACTTAAAAGTAAAGAAAATCTCCCTGAAGTCAAAATGTGATATTATAATAATTCATGTTAATAAAATTCATAATTATTAATATTATTTATTTATAATATATTTAAAAATATATTATTTTATATTAACAAAATATAGTTATAACAGGCAGAGAAAGTCATAATATATATATATATATATATATATATATATATATATATATATATATATATATATATATATATATTATAATTTTTAGAGGATAACATACTATAATTTTTTATTGAAAAAAAATATGTTATAAATTATATGTTAAAATATATAGATTATATGTTAAAACAGAAGTTTCAATGATTAAAAGTGGATGCATCGATTTTTTTGTGACAAAGGTCAGACCTCCTGTTATGATGCAGATTTTTTGAGGTGCACTCTTGTCATAAATTCATCAATTACTCTTCCTATATAATTTGTAACACACAACAGGGGTGGAATATCAATTTAAAAGTCTTCGACCTTTCCAACAATATAAAATTTGTCCTAATTAGATTAGGATTTAATAGAAACATAGTGAAGTAAATTTAGGCGTCCCGGACCGGTACCAGGATGGTGACAGATGAGGGATTAAAACTGGCAAAGACTAGAATAACGGGCACTGATGAATTATGCACAGTAAGAGCAGGAACATGCATTACAAAAAGTAAACAGTGTCAAATATAATTCATGTTCCTTTAAAACTGTCATAAAGTATGTTTTTGTGGTATTTGTGGGCACTAAACATGCTCTCTGTTGCAGTCTGTACCTGTGCTGGTGGACGTGGGGTCAGTCGGAGCAATACTGTATACGGGCCCAATACTCACCCACAGCATTGAGAAGCATAAACAGGGACTCTCTTTCTCTGACAGCAGGAATGCTTCACTAAACTAGTTTGGACTGGCTCCAGGTCTGCTCTCTATCCAGGGACCAATGGCCACAAAAAGACGAGGGGAGTTTTCAGGTCACGAAACCTGCTTAAAAACAATAATTTTCTTTTCGTAATTCCCAAATT